CCAGAACATCCTGAAGATAAGGGTAAGAATCCATGACCATGGTTTTCAGACTGGTTTCCCCTTTTATCAGATTCAGATCACGGAATTTGAAATGAAAGACAAAGTGGAACTGGGGATAAATCTTCCCTGTGGCCCAGCGATACACAATGTTCTGCACCATGGTGGTTTTCCCAATCCCTGCGATTCCACTCAGGATGGTTGTTCCAGATCTGCTTCTCTCAAAACTACTTCGAAACAACTCATCCGGTCGCATTTTCTCCAGCTCCTTCCTGACATTTCTCTCTTGCGACTCCTCATGGTCTCTGCCTCTCGCTACCAGTTCATGCTCCACCAGCCTCAAATCACGTGGACAAGAAGTGACTGTTAATTCCGTGTAGCGGTCAGACAGCAGAAATATCTTGGTCTTCTCCTGTCCTCGAATGGTGTTTACTGACATTTTCTCATTCTGTGAGCAGAGGAATTCTTTGTGATGATGTTGAATATCTTGAATGTGAATGAGATAATGTTAGTGATCTTATCCCGAATTATGAAACCAAAAGATAACATAGAACTCAGTACTGACTGTTGGGAATATAATCAGACGCTTTGGGAGAATTATAGAATCAGAGTTCAGAAACTATGCAGATTTATCAACGTGGCAAGTATCACACTGTGAGATTGGCTCTTTAGTGTAACCCAGAATCTAAGAATGTTCCATCCTCAAAAAACCAACTGACCTGACTGCACATTACCTGGCTGTTGCTCACTAACCCCTTTTATGTCAGTTTTTACACATCTGCCCAGTGGACATTAAGCTATCAGTACGTGTCCTGATGTCAGTCTGTGCCATACCTCTCAGTCTATCTGACAATGGCTCCATCTTTCCACAGCACTGCACCACACGAGGTAAACTGGGACCTGGAATAGAGTTTAGTTCTGTCAGTCTCTGTTTTACATGACACTAAAATATACAACATAGAGACCCTGAGCTGTCCTTTCTCCCTCACATCCGCACTACAACTGGCACCGCCTTCCATCACCTCCGGAACATCGCCAGATTACGGCACTACCTCACCCCTCACGCGGCTGAAACCCTGGTCCACGCCTTTGTCACCTCAAGGCCGGACTATGGGAACTCTCTCCTCGTCGGCCTTCCCGGCCCTCCCTCCACACTGCAGGTCATTCAGAACTCTGCAGCTCGTGTACTGTCCCGCACCAGACACCGCGACCACATCACTCCCACCCTCACCCTCGCCCTCACCCTCACCCTCGCCCTCGCTCGCCTCCACTGGCTCCCCATCCCCCAGAGGATTGATTTCAAGATCCTCATCCTCACCTACAAGGCCATTCACGGCCTTGCTCCCTCCTACCTCTCCAACCTACTATCCCCTACCTACCTGCCCGTACCCTCCGTTCCTCTGGCTCTGGTCTGCTCCACGTCCCCCGCCCCAACCGCCCTACCATCGGTGGTCGGGCCTTCAGCCTCTCAGCCCCGAGGCTCTGGAACTCCATCCCCCAGTGCCTTCGCCTTGCTTCCTCCCTTTCCTCCTTCAAGGCCGGTCTCAAAACCTTTCTCTTTGACCGTGCCTTCAGCTCCCCTCTCGACTCTCTTCCCCCTCCTCGCTCCCTCCCTTCCCTCCCCTCACCCTGACCATTTCCCCCCTCCTCGCTCCCTCCCTTCCCTCCCCTCACCCTGACCATTTCCCCCCTGCTCGGGTCATGACCCAACTGTGCAGCGCCTTGGGACGTCCTCCTGACGTGAAAGGCGCTTTATAAATGGAATCTTGTTGTTGTTGTCTTGTTGTAGTATTATCTGCAAACTTGGAGATTGTGCTCTCTGTACCCGTCCAGGTCATTTATACAGATCACAAACAGCAGTGGCCCCAATACCGACCCCGGGGGTCACCACTGCACTTCCCTCCAGAAGTTCACCACCGCTCTCTGCTCTTTGTCTCCCAGACAGTTCTGTATCCACTGCCACTGTCCCTTTAATACCGGGGGCTTCTATTTTGCCTATAAGTCTCTTATGTGGCACTTAATCAACTGCCTCCATTTCATCTAAGCAAATGGTTTCTCCTCACGCCACCTGCAAGGTGATCCCAGGGCTCCATCCTTGGCCTCTTCTTTTCTTTATTTATAAGCTCCCTCTGGGTGATGTCATCCGCAGACTTCCACGTAAACTTCCACGTTTGCAGATGACACCCAAATCTACTTGGCCTCGTCCAGCACCAACTCCAGGTCCCCGATGTTCTATCAGCTTGTCTGGCCAGACATCAGGGCCTGGATTAGGGTAAACTTCCTGCAGCTGAAGGTGGACAAGATGGAAGCCACACTCCTTGGCTCCCGTCAATGTCTTCACTCCTGTGGATCTCATCTCCTCAACCTCCCTGTGTTCTCCCTCACACTCACCGAACCAGTGTGTAACCGAGGCATCCAATACACCCCCAGCTGTCCTTTCTCCCCCACATCTGGTCCCTGACCAGGACGGACTTCCTCCACCTCCACCACATTGCCGGTCTCTCACTGTACCTTACCCCAAATGCAGCCGAAACCCTTCTGTATGTGTTTGAGACCTCCCGCCTGGATTACTCCAACCCCCTCCTCGCTGCTCTCTCCAGCTCCACCATTCACAAGATCAGCTCATTCAGACTCTGTGGCCACATACTGACCCCAACCAAACTCCACACCCACATCTCCCCAGCTCTGGCCCAGACTCCATTGGCTCCATCTCACCCAATGGATCCAATTCAAGATCCTCTAATTCTTGTGTTCAAATCCCTTCACTCCCTGGCACCTCCCTCCCTCTCCCACCTCCTCACTCCCCAATCTACCACATGGCACCTCCCCTCAACTGTCACTAGCTCCTGCTTGTCCCTCGCACCCCCCCCCCCACCCCCCCCCACCCCCCCCCCCCCACCCCCACGGAGGTTGTGCTTTCAGCCACTACGCCCTGAAACTCTGGAACATTCTCCCTCAACCCCTCCACCTTGCCCCTTCTCTCCCCTCTTTCAAGTCCCACCTGAAAACTTTCCTCTTTGACCTGCGTGGAGGGTGCTATACAAGTGCAAGTTGTTGTTGTTGATGATGTCTCTTAGTGGCACTTTATCAAACAATGTTAATGTCATTAGTTTGAATGAACGGTGTCATAAAGCTATTTCAATAAAACGTATAACTCACCACAGAATGGGGTCACAGTGTAACATCACACATTACCTTGTTCCTGTATTTCAGTCATGATTTTGTTCAGTTTGGGCAAAATGGGACTCATTTTCACAAAGAATTCCCACATCACTCTCCGGGCCAGGGAACCTTTCCCCATCACCAGGTTCAGAAGAAGTTAGGAGCTTTGTCTCTTCCGCCCACTGTGTGGAGCTCAGTGAGATTCTGCAGAGATTATTCATTCAAATATTGAAGAGGGAGTAAAGGGCGAACAATGACAGTGATTAGCAAAACGCAGCTCCATTAACTCCTCCCTCCACAAGCTGCAGTGGGGTTCTTCAGGCCTATGGGGAAGAACGGGGGACTGGGGTTGATCCGGGCTATGGGGATAGAGCGGGGGAGTGGCGTTGATCCGGGCTATGGGGATAGAGCGGGGGAGTGGGGTTGATCAGGTCTATGGGGAGAGCGCGGGGGAGTGGGGTTAATCAGGGCTATGGGGAGAGTACGAGGGAGCGGTGTTGATCTGGGCTTTGGGGAGAGAGCGGGGGAGTGGGGTTGATCAGGGATATGGGGAGAGCGCGGGTTAGTGGGGTTGATCGGGGCTATGGAGAGAGAGCGGGGGAGTGGGGTTGATCAGGGCTATGGGGAGAGCGCAGGGCTGGGGGCTGATCAGGGCTATGGGGAGAGAGCGGTGGGAGTTGGGATGTTCAGGGCTATGGGGAGAGCGCGGGGGAGTGGCGTTGATCAGGGCTATGGGGAGTGAGCGGGGCAGTGGGGTTGATCTGGGCTATAATAATAATAATAATAATAATCCTTGCTTTTGATATAGCGCTTTTCACGTCGGGAGGACGTCCCAAAGCGCTTCACAGAACACACTGTAAAGTGAATTGACTGTATATTTGTGGGCGAACGCGGCGGCCAATTGTGCACAGCAATGTCCCACAAACAGTCGTAGATTGAAAATGACCAATTTATTATTGTTTTTGGTTTTGGAGGGATATTATTAGGCTCTGTGTGGAGTAAGGAAACTTGCCCAAGGTTTCGCCCTCTGCCGGGAATTGAACTCAGGTCTCTCACTTGCAAAGCGAGTGCTCTAACCACTGAGCTACAGGACTCCACAGAGAGGGATAGAGCGCGGCGCTGTGGGGCTGATCAGGGCTATGCGGAGAGAGCGGGGGAGTGGAGTTGATCGGGGCTATGGGGAGAGCGCGGGGGAGTGGGGTTGATCAGGACTATACGGAGAACGCGGGGGAGTGGCGTTGATCAGGGCTATGGGGAGAGCACGGGGGAGTGGGGATGATCGGGGCTATGGGGAGAGCGCAGGGGAGTGGGGTTGATCAGGGCAATGGGGAGAGCGCGGGGGAGTGGGGCTAATCAGGGATATGGGGAGAGCGCGAGGGAGTGGGGTTGTTCAAGGCTATGGGGAGAGAGCGGGGGAGTTGGGTTGATCAGTGCTATGGGGAGAGCGCGGGGGAGTGGGGTTGATCAGCGCTATGGGGAGAGAGCGGGGGAGTGGGGTTGATCGGAGCTATGGAGAGAGAACGGGGGAGTGGGGTTGATCAGGGCTATGGGGAGGGAACGGGGGAGTGGGGTTGATCAGGGCTATGTGGAGAGAACGGGGGAGTGGTGTTGATCAGGGCTATGGGGAGAGAACGGAGAAGTGGGGTTGATCAGGGCTATGGGGAGAGAACGGGGGAGTGGGGTTGATCAGGGCTATGGGGAGAGAACGGGGGAGTGGGGTTGATCAGGGCTATGGGGAGGAAACGGGGGAGTGGGGTTGATCAGGGCTATGGGGAGAGAGCGGGGTATTGGGGTTGATCAGGGCTATGGGGAGGAAACGGGGGAGTGGGGTTGATCAGGGCTATGGGGAGAGAGTGGGGGAGTGGGGTTGATCGGAGCTATGGAGAGAGAACGGGGGAGTGGGTTGATCAGGGCTATGGAAAGAGAACGCGGGAGTGAGGTTGATCAGGATTATGGGGCGAGAGCGGGTTAGTGGGGTTGATTTGGGCTATGGGGAGAGAGCGGGGTATTGGGGCTGATCAGTGCTATGGGGAGAGAGCGGTGGAGTGGAGTTGATCAGGGCTATGGGGAGAGAGCGGGGTATTGGGGCTGATCAGTGCTATGGGGAGAGAGCGGTGGAGTGGGGTTGATCAGGGCTATGGGGAGAGAGCGGGGGAGTGGGGTTGATCAGGGCTATGGGGAGAGAGCAGGGGAGTGGGGTTGATCCGGGCTATGGGGAGAGCGGGGGGGAGTTGGGTTGTTCAAGGCTATGGGGAGAGAGCGGGGGAGTTGGGTTGATCAGTGCTATGGGGAGAGCTCGGGGGAGTGGGGTTGATAATAATAATAATAATAATAATCCTTGCATTTGATATAGCGCTTTTCACGTCGGGAGGACGTCCCAAAGCGCTTCACAGAACACACTGTAAAGTGAATTGACTGTATATTTGTGGGCGAACGCGGCAGCCAATTGCGCACAGCAATGTCCCACAAACAGTCGTAATTGAAAATGACCAATTTATTATTATTTTTGTTTTTTTTGGAGGGATTATTATTAGGCTCTGTGTGGAGTAAGGAAACTTGCCCAAGGTTTCGCCCTCTGCCTGGAATTGAACTCAGGTCTCTCGCTTGCAAAGCGAGTGCTCTAACCACTGAGCTACAGGACTCCACTGATGAGGGCTATGGGGAGGAAACGGGGGAGTGGGGTTGATGAGGGCTATGGGGAGAGAGCGGGGGAGTGGGGTTGATCGGAGCTAT